CAGCACGACTCTAAGCTCATCACGCAAAAACTCAGAGAAAACAAATTAGCAGGTATAGCAAAATCCATGCAAATAATTCACCACTATAGTAGACACAGTATAGAATATATTTAAGCCTTAACTAATATGGACAAAGAAGAGCACATTAAATTGGGCCATTTAGAATCACAGGGCTGTTATTAGGAACGTAAGAAATAGAAATGTTGGAGCAAGAGAGAACTGTATCTTCAAGCCCCCACAAACCAAACATAAACCAGCTGAATCCTGGAATCTGGAGATATATATATTTCCTAATAAAACTATCCACAGAGCACAGACAACCAAATGCAGTTCTTCCTTCCCTCTCCCAAGGAGGGATCTCACTGCATTCAATCTACTGCTTTTCAGTAAGCCAAGCAGGATTTAATTCAAGCTGGCTGTCCTGGGTAGTCTCCCTGCAGTTGATTCACTTCTTTCAGACTAGGAAGACGTCAGAGCCAGAGAGAACCAGGATGCCAGTTTAAGTGACAGTGGAGCTGCTGCTGCTGTTTGTTGAGCCTCTCTGATGGAGGATTAGATTTGTTTTGGCACTGCATCTCAGAAGACTCTAAAGGGCACACAATAATCTAAAGACCATCAAGCTCTTGTTAGGCTGAGTTTCTCACCAGTCCTGGAACAAGTATGACTCACCAGCAAACAGCACAAATACTTAAATGAATCTTCAGGACAGTACTGGGAACGCATGCAGGGTGCTCAGTTTTTTTTCAAGGGTTTGTTTTTTTAATCTTCCTACTCTATGTCTGTGCAGATGAACTGGTGTCTTCATTTGTGAAATACATGTAAAAGTATACTACCAGCCTATTTTTCCCAGAAGTTACCAATTACACGACATAATACAATAGTGATGGCTGCTATACAAAAAGTAATAAGGTATTCTACTATTGTTTGCCTCAAATTGGAAGTATCTGAAATCAGTCTGTTCAACTGAGCCACTGATGCTTGGGAGACAAAACACATTGTGAGACAGAACATTTTCTCTTGTGCCAGTGGCTGTCAAGTCTAGTTCTGCACTTAAACAATGAATTGGCTGAAACATCTCACCACCAAAAGGAGTAAAGAAATTCGGCAGTAGGAAACAATCATTACATGTAGAAAATTCACTTAGACTCATTATTAGTGCTGCGTTATCACCACAGTCAGAGATGTAAAAGGCTTTTACCTGAAAATTTGCCCTGAAAAAAAAATTAGACAAACTTTGAAATCCAATACTCCATTTTACATATTGCAAAATATAAACTTGGTTACAGCTTGGGAGCATTAAAAACTCCTCAAATCTTAAATATTTTATTTGCTCTTAACTTCCTGAAAATAACTAAGAGTACATAAAAATGATGCTAGCATCTACTTAATTCTAATTGAAAACATAATTCTTTGTTTCCTATTGACTCAGGACAGTAGTGCCCCCAAGTGACATTTCATTATACAATATAGTCATGTAGCTTTGTAAGAAAAACCCAACAGATTATTTTAATTGCTTCGCACAATACTAAGAGAGGATAGACACTTGCAAACAAGAGTCAGACTTAAATGATACTGACATTTCTTTGAGAGGGCTTGGGGGGAAGAGGAGGACGGGTAATTTACATTTTCATTTTCTAACCATTCTGAAGCTGCGAATTGTTGGAAATTGTAACATCAACATAAAGTTGAACTTGTGTCTTTTGCCAGCTGCTCATCAGGCTTTTCTACACAAACCACCTCAATACCCAGGTAGACCTTTTCTTATTTTGAAAAGGATCTCCCAGTTTTTTCTTGCCCCCTTTCCTCACAACCACTTTTGCTGATACTACAAATAAAAAACTGTTTTCTAACCTTGCAAGACATTCCCCTGGAAGTGCGCTCTCTCTTGCTTCTCAGAGGTATATCGTGCTTTCTAGGTTATCAGTGAGTGAAGAAACTTAAAAGCACAGATTTGGAAATAACAGCACACAGACTGCCAGGCCTCATTAAATCTAAGATCTACTACAGGGCATGATAACAGTTATGTTTGCATTTATTTTTCCATAAACTCTACATGTAAGAACCTATTTAATACATTCTTGAAGACTTCTAACATACAGGCTTATAATTATAAACAGTGATATATATTATTTTTACTAGTCATTTAAAGACGGCAATTAAATTATGGGCAACTTGCTGATTTTAGATAATATTTAGCAGCCACTGAATGGAAGCAAATACCACAGCCTCAGTACTGGCATCAAATATTTACATTAATATGCTTATGTAATACACAATTCACATGTACACAGTTGTTTTGCTAGTTGAATGTATGATAATTGAATGTAGTATCCATGCTAAAGGCTGCATTTTAAACAAAATTCCCTTTACATGGACATAGAGTACTAATAAAAAGAAGTGCAGAAAAAAGCCTATTCAGAGAAGGTTTAATTTTGTTTAATTTGCATTTGGCTACTCATTGTAGCATACACTGCCAGATTTGTATTGTATGCTAATAAACCAACATTCAACATCCGAGACTTTCAAGAATCAAAAGTAATTCAGAAGCAAACTAATGGTTACACAAATTTAGATAACTTATAAAGAAACAATTTAAGTAGTACTGGGTCACTTCAGATGTCTGAAAAAGTAGCATCTGAAAATTGAGAGTTTTTTTTAAGTTATTTAATTCCAAATAAATCACTATGCAGAATCAGTTACACAGACACCTTGCAAAAACAGAAATTAAAAGCTAATGATTTTTATGGAAAAGAGTTTTTATAAGCTTTTCACAGAAGAGAAAAGTTGTCTTTAATGTGGTGCTAGAATAGGGGATACTGCCAGAGATAGGACTCCCTCTTCCTTGTTACTCAACACGTTCAGAAGTAAACATCTAACCAAGAGATGATGCCAGATACACATACACACTGCAATGAGTATCGTTCTTGTAATTAGTTTTTTAGTTTTATAAAATTACTACTAGTGTTGGTGTGAAGAGTAACCACAGTTAGTTGGCATTTATAAAAATATTTTAAAAGCTCTCTCTATGGTATTATGTATAACTGGGCAGCTAAGCTGTCTGTATTGTTACTCTGTCAAACCATAAGCTTTCTTACTGTTAGCCTAATTTATCCTCCACTCCTTTTATTTGTTGAATGTACTTTAAAGAAGATTATAATCTAAACGTGTGTAGTCTTTCAACTTGGATCCAAATGGCTAGGTCTTAATGAGAATCTGAAGCTTGAACCATAACAAATTAACAAGCAGCCCAAGAGCACATCAAGTCAGAATATAATGTTGAAACAGATTTAGTAAAAGCACCAAAAGCAAACAGTGGCACACAGCAAGCAAGCTGGCTCTTCATGCGTAAGCAGGTGTTGCTAAGAGTAACTGCTTGGAAGACCTCCACTTAATAGCAAAGTTGTGCTACGCTAAACAATCTAATAAAACTATAAAGAAATATTTGCTCATAACTGTTTCTGTTGGAAGACAACTGATAACTAATACAAGGTATAAAAATAATCAGTACTCCTTTTTACTCTCTCTCAATTTTAATGCACCCACTTATTAATATTTCACTTGGCAAAGATTTTTCCACGTGGACTGCAAAAAGTTCCTTCACATACTAAAATTTCAAAACAGCAATCAATTTTGAATTAATCCCACTACACAGCAAAGGAGAGTATGATGCCATCAACAGACATTATTCATATAAAGATTCATATTCTCGCCAAACAATTGTTTCAAACTATGAAATGGTTATGCACAATGCACTAAATGTATTGCTGTAAGTATATAACAAGTAAAAATAATAATAATGTAATAGCAACTTCAAGCAGTACTCAAAGATACGATTACTATGGTTTATATGGAAGATGAGTTTGATTTATCCAATATTTCACAGCCTTTATAAACCATTGTTAGTTTAGCTTTATAATGTGTTTCGTTCATATCAAGATATCCTGATTGGAAAAATAATCTCCATCTATTTAGATGAACCAACAAGACAGGATTTTCCCCTTCCAGCAGGCATTACTTAACACCTTTTTGTCATAGCACAGACACATCACCATGTATGTAACACACCAACAATGGCTCTGCATCAACTATTAACTGCTTTTGAATCAACATAAAGAGCTTTTGGGGGCAAAGTCTGCCTCTACACTTCCACAAAAATGAGATTCAATACTATTTTAATACACAGAAGTGTATTTGCCTATTACATGCATGAAGGAGACTGCATTTCTCTCTCCTGAGCAGAGAGAGTTGCTGTTGTGTTCCTCCCCAGCTTCTTGCCTTCTACCATTCTTTTCCCCAAGTAATCTTTTGGCTTTATGCAGATTTTCTCTCCGCGCTCAGCTGTACGCATCTGCCTTCAACAGCACCATTTCCTATTTTCCCCACTTTCTTTAATTCAAGTTGCCTCGTTGTGGCTCACTCTATTCTCTTGCCTTTTGACTTCACTTTACTCTCCAAATTTCACTTCATGTACACACCCAGTGTCCCCTTCCTGCCCTCCTTTTCCTTTCATGGGTGTTTGCAAGTCTGCTATAACTTAGAATAGCATAAAGTTGTATATGCATAACCTCCTCTAATATAAAGTTTCTTTTGCCCATGCGTTTATCCCACGGAAAGCATTAAGAGAAGGTGGTGATTTTTAAAGTCAGCAAGCTTAGGAGTGTCTCTGTGATAGTTTTCCCCCATGAACTTATTCTTACAGATAAGTTTTCAAAAATAAAAAGTCTTCCTATTAAGATCTACTACATGAAAAAAGTCTACATCAGATTTAGAGACCATTAAGTTGAAGTTTCAGCCACAAGATTTCCCACATTTATAGAACAGATACATGTTTTATGTTGGGAACAACAAAAATATACATTTTATGTTAAGCACTTCTAAAAAACCATCATTAACACAAGAGCTGTGCCATTTAATTATTTGGATTAAGTACCTTTACAAGAGTGTACTGAGTTACAAAAGAAATTTAAAAAAAAAAAAAACAAAAGTAAAGGTAATCTTACTTTTTCATCATCGTCAGAAAAAGGGGCACCTCCAGGAGTCTTATTTATTGCTTGGGCAACACCAATAATTTCTCCATCACTGTTTCTTATGGGCATGCACATGAGTGACTTTGTCTTGTATCCAGTCAGTTTGTCAATCTCGTCATTAAAGCGGCGATCCTTCAAAAGAAAATAAGGAAGCATTAACATGCATGTCACACATCTAAGCTTTCTTCAGGCAAAGTACTTTATTTTCTCAATGTTTTGTATAGTATTTTCAGTAGTGTTACATTGTTGCTTCTCTGTTATTACCCCATTCTTTATTAGCTGTTTTTCCTCAGTTAAGATACTAAGAAAAATAGTTCTTGGAGGATCAGTATAAGGTTTACCATTACATAACTGTATTCACTGAAGTCCCACATTTATACCTCAGTTAGAAGAATGACCTATCTAAAGGATCACTACCAAAGCAGCTACCAGGAGAACATGGAAAATGAAGACAAATTAAACATATGGGGAACATAAATACGAGAAGAGAAAAAACATGATAGGGAGACTGCGTAACACGCTTTGGGCCTTGACAAAACACAAGCTCCTTACACCCACAGCTCAGCACCATGATAGTGCCGCCTTTGATGGCTCCAGGGCCATCTGTAAGCAGAGGGTCCTCCACAGCTCCATGACAGCAGCAGGCCTTGGCACTGACCATAGATGGTCAGATCCACCTTGCCCATAGCTTTCGCAGGTTTCAATACAGGTAAGGAAACTATGAGTGGCTAAGGCTGTAGCCTGGTTCCTGCTCACATGTTCACAGGCAGTTTTCAGTTTCTTCAATCTTAACCAATACTGCTTGCTTCACTATCCCTCTATATTGCTGCTGATATATGTTCCTACCAGTGAAGCTGTGGGTAACCACTTGGTCCTTGCAGGCACTTGTGAGGGCCCCGAGCTCCTCTGTTCACACACCGTACCTCCTTCAATGCACACACTAATGAAAGGGCTGTTTGCAGTTCACCAGGCATACCTTTCCATAGTCTGCGCGTGTGAAGCATGCAGATGTTGTGGTTTGTATGAAAGGATAACAAGCTGCAAGGAGTGCTGTGCCACCTTAATTGAGAATGCAGAGAAGAAGAATGAGTCACACAGATCTGGTATGTACTAATGTCTAGACTATTCCTAGCTGGAAAGTCACCATGTTCACCCCAGAGTGGAGCAAGTGTCCGTTAGCTGTATACATTATGAACAGTTGCAGAATTAGGGCTTTAATGTAAAATAGGGAGCATACCAGCATGACACTATGTATTCATCCTAAGTCTTCATCTGTTTTTCAGTTTATGCCAGTTCAATCTGATCAGTGATTGAGGGGTGCTTACATACAAGTTGCTCTACTGATCTGTACTTACTCTTCACTGCCTGATATCTGCACCAAATGAGAGCTTCTGAATTTTCTTGTGCATCATAAGTTATAGGTTATACCACCTTATAACTAGTACATGAGAAATACCAGGAAGAATGAGTTTGACAGAAACGCTATATGAAGTTGTGATGCTTCAAATTTGTTTGTTAAGTTGCTGTACTCACACTACATAAAATATGAAACAATGAAAGATTTCATGGAGACTGCCTCACAATACTAATATCCAACTAAATCATTGTGCAGCAGGTTGAAAATGCATAGGCAAATATCCACGTAGTCTGAGAGTTCCTAAAATGTAGTATACATCAACCAGAGTATTTTTTCATTAATCTGTGGTGCTCTAAGGGGCAAATTTAACAACGCAACTCTCATTAGTGTTAACAGAACAGAGCAACTGAATCTCCACAATAAAAGTTTACCCTTAAGCTTTACATGGCAAGTAGCAATCATTTATCCAAGAATTTTGCAAGTATAATTTATTGTGGTTTTGTTTATTTTCAAATTTTGCTGGCCAAGAATTGTATCTAGTATCACCAAGTTTTTTTTTAATTGTTGGTACACAGTTTTTTTTTTAGGCATGATTATTTCATATGCTTTTGTATCCACTTGCAGTTATGTTTTTTTGAACAACAATGCATAATAACTATGAAGACTTACCTGTTTTGATTAATGCATATATAAAATCTCTAAATCATGATTGAATAAATATGCACTGTAATCTGATTGATCATAAAGCATGCACTTTCTCAAAAAAATACAGAACACATACTGTGAGCATAAGGCTTCTCTTACAATAGAATGACTGAAATCCATCTCTTAAAACCAAATATTAAAAATGTTTATAACAGATCATGTTGAAGAGTAAAGATACTAATAACAAGATGGTCTTTGAAGTAACAGCAGCAAGTATTTTGTTATTTTAAATTTTTTTTAGGCAATGAACGTGCCCAAGGTTACACGTATTTATTGAGGGATGTACATAAATAAATGCTTGCATCACATTCAAAGAGGACTTCACTTTTCAAGACAAAATCCAAATCTTTTATTAAAACTGCAATTGCTTCATACTTCTTGTCATCATTCCTATTCTATGTAGGGTCACAGTGCCACACACGGAGTATATTTCTATCTCCAAAGCTATTCAGGTATTAAAGTCTTAGTAGTAGTACTGCTAATTCCAATGCATCAAAAAAATTATTTAAGTTGCATTTAGACAGTTCTTACTTCAGATTTGAAACATGGTTTAGAGGCAATTGACATAACACATTTTACACTAAAGCACTAGAAGTAGTGTCTCATGTCTTAGTGAAAACCCAGGTGCTTTAATACTTGTAGGAATTTCAGAATGTACTACATTGTAAAAGATTATAAGCTACCATCTTCAACAACATAATTAGTAGTGAAAATACACATAGGGTGACAATATTACATCTTGAAATCAAATTAAATTTGATCACCATTTAAAAAATAATGCCATTACTTTATAGAACACTTCGACTTAATGACAGCAAGCAAAGACTGATATTTAGTGCTAGTGACGTGATACATACACGCTTATGCTAGGCCATGCTGCCACTTCACATCTATATTCTGTAGATGCTCGCGATTTCTCTGTCAAGTAGATGGAGATGCTTTTTGGCCCCACTTCTGTCTGTTGCACTTTAAATTCAGTACATCAAATAAGACTCGCTATGTGGGCTAGTATTGCAATGGGGTACAACCACTTTTTCAAAGAAATACAATAAAACCTCAGCTCTTTCTGGAAAGCTAAGTACAGGAGTGTCCCTATTTAAAAAAAAAGCTCCCTCACATGCCAATATAATTCTCAGCATATAGCTTAGCTAGAGACATGACTCAAGGAATACACTGTTTGGATTTGCAGTTTCTTTAACCTTCCTCTGCAGGATACACGCAGCTAGTTACCTCTGGAGAAAGATTACTATATATACAAACAGAAGGGTTTAAAAGATGTAATAAGTATCTTTTCATATGACTTTCTATGCTTGTCAGAATAGCAAGAGGAGCTTATAGTACTTTTGATCATTAAACAGTCTGAAGTTTTTCTTAAATACATTAACATTTGTAGTAAGCAAGCAGCCAAGAGCAAAACTCAAATTTAGCAGAAAATTACTTTCAATATAGATTGACAAAACCTAAAGGGAACGGAACTAAACATGGCTCGTTTGTTTACATGGCAGCGTGCAGAAATCCATTCTCTGCAACAGAACGACTCATGCTGCAGATCACAAAGTGACTCAAAGGACACTGCAAAGTTCAGAAGAGGTAGTGGTAACAGCATCTTTGTTCTTCTTAGTAGAGAATAGTCTTCAACTATTCTTCAGCTCTTCTATCAGCCAGGGAGGGAATTACTGCTATTTACTGGCAGCAGCCCCGTTCCTCCAGGGTGAAGTTAGCATTTATGCTGCAGACAATAGTTACAGCCAGTTCTGACTCCCCTAACATGAAGGAACTGAGCTGTTCTACAAAAATAAGTATGAGTTTTGTTTTCAAAAGTTTAGACAATATGGGCTGTGAAATAATGTCCATATTTGTCTCAGGTGATGAAAACCATCCATACCATCCTTAATCTAAGATAAGATTTGATTGTGATGAGGAAGAGATAAGTCATTAAATCTTCACTGATGCTAAAAACTGACAGATTTTTTTTCTCCTGGCAATTTTATTGCTATTTTTATTTCCTTGTTGTGATTTGCAGATGCTATAGAAATAGACTGTTTTAGTCACCTAAAGAGAGACATGATTTAGAAATGCTGTACACTCACTTATCAAAGACTAACATATACCTTTGGCTATTTTATTACTTGTTGCAAGTTTACGTACCTTTCAGCCATAAGGAATTAATATCAACTATGGTATTCATATACAGTTTACAGTGCTCTTCTGCCACAGAATATCAAGCTCTTTTTTTTATTATACTATTGCCTTTTGTTCTCTTTTAATTTGATAACTTCATTAGGAGTTGTTGTTCTTCCTCAGACCTATTTCTGCCTCTGGAGTGTATTAAACAGTCTTTGCTTCCATAAAGACCAGATTACTAATATGCAGTCTTTGATAAGGATTTGATGAGAATCCCTTGAATTATTTGTGCCTAACAACTTCCTTAGGAGAACCAGAACCCCCATGATGAATGGTTTTTAATAATGGCATCAAGGGCCCAGACCTGCCTGATCTTGTGATCTTTCCACATGCTTCTGCACACTTTTATATCAACTTCAATAGAAGCTGAACTCTTCTGCACTGTAGAGAATCCTGCCTAGAAAGGGATGGTTCTTCTACAACAGAAGTGAAATGCAGTGCAATTATCACACAGTAAGCTTCACCAATTAATAAATTAAACATTGTTTCTTCAACTACCTCTTGATAGTGTCTGAACTACTATTTAGAATTAGCTATTGTTGCTGAACTATTGATAACATACTAATTTTGTTCAAAGCAAAACAGAGTACACGAGGAAACACTGAAATGACAACATGCCTTGACTAGTAATATTGTTATTGATCTACATCTTGTGGGCCTTGTAAAAGAAGTAAATCTTCAAGCAGGATTTTAATTGAAAAAGCACAGCTGTTGGAAAGTCCAAAAGTGAGCTGCAATTTGTTTATCTGAATATACTCAATTAAAAGAGACACATTGCTGTAAGACAAAACAGAGGTCTGGGATAAAAATCAGGAAGATGCATTCATGTTTATCTGAGTTTCTTTTGCTTAGGTAACAAGGTTCACTGTAGTGGGTATTTTAATCC